AGAGACGAAATCGAAATTTCGCATTTAGAATTCCTTCACTGAGATTGATAGATGGCCCCAGTAGTTTCGTTTTCCTACTCCACAGGGGGCTTCGTCACACTTTGGGATAAATCAGTCTAAACTCCAAAATATGTATTTGATTGAGTCAAATTTTATGAACTTTCTGCGTATCTGCATTTTTGGCTATGCCGGATACGTAACACAACGCTGATTTCAATCTTTTGCTGAGATTGGCGGGAGCCACCAAAAGTGTAATTTTTTGGTCTTAATGCTTTACTACCGATTTTGACATTATATCAATTTTTTCCGTAATATCCCTGCGAGAGCGCGGCATTTTAGCACCCCTTGAATTTTGCATTGATAAACTTAAAATCTTCAAAACCACAAATATTATTGAGGAAACTTTCCACAAAGTTTCAAAAGGCGAAAGCTATACTAACAATAAATAGAACTCTTGGGCCGATTTCACCAACATTAATATTATGGACCAATGGGAAAATACCTTATCGAAATGCAATTTGACAGAAGCTGTCAAAGGTTTCTGAATATTAGTGATTTCTATTGAAATATTGAATAAAATCGTGAAAATTGGACTGTATTATAAACAAGACCACTTTTTGATTCCAACATGATGCTTTTGTACAGAGAAATCAGGAAAACTTTCATGCATTTTGATATATGTTGTGGGCTAACATTTAACAATCCGTTATCCCTCTCAGCGAATGGGAATGCGGCAAATAATAGGTCAATTTTCTAGCTGTTAAATTTGGCAGCAGATTTGGACGTCTGTTGATTCATGGCACTCTCGAATCTATCAACTTCAATATACTGAAAGTTGTCATTACATACCTGTTGAATAGTGTGGATTTGTCTGTATTTTGCAAGAAAATAGAATATAAAATACATTCCATCCAATTCTCATCTTCCTTTACGTCATAATAGCAATCATTTATTAATTTATCGGTTAATGAATTTCTTCAAAGCAATAAAAACATTATGCCCTCTCCATCCTAAAACACAGATAATATGTGTAAGACCTGTCAATCGCTACATCTCCCTGATTCATAATGCAATTATTACTATGGACATAGACAAAAAATTATGAAAAATTTTTCACAAATAATGTCTTTTAAGTCCAAAGGTCATGAAAACTAGTAATCTTTATTGTTTGTCATTTTGACTGGCAAGGATATCCATCTGTCACTCGCAGGGTTGCCAAGTCTAACGACGATCACGTCCCGTGGTGGAGGGTGCGAAATGGATCTTTTACACTTGCTGGTTTTGAATTTTTTTCGTTAAAATTTACTAGGTATCATGACTATAAGCACCTTTGGTAGATTGTTCGATCCGGAATGGGAAAGACCTCCTATTTATGAAAATATTTTTGGTATCATCTAACCGTTGTATTCAGTGCACAAACACTGTGACATATGATTTATAGCATAACCCGCTGCCCTATCAATGCAAATTTAACATACAGATCGCCTAGCCGTGGGGATGCAGTGGTCGGGATGAATATCACGGCAGCAACTGATGATTGGGGCATGTCTGGTAAGAACGTATGAAGTGAAACTCGCGAACTTCACAAATTTGAAGATTTTGTACAATTTCTTTGAAAATGATGAAAGATATGTCTGATTTGGCAGGGTAATGTCGCAGCCAAATGGCAGTCACTCTTTCTGACACAGTCCGGATCGAAAGATAACGATACTCGTGAAATGTATTGATACTTCTAAATATAGGATCGTATCGAACATCCCTACTGTCAAGATGTATAACCCAAGGTACCGACGAAGCTATTTTGCGGCGTCATGGAAATAATTTTAAATCTTCATTTGCATTTTTTCAAGTGTTGTGCAATGATTTTGGGAAAAATGTCACGGATAGTCTTATAAAGCATAGTAGAGTATACTTCAACAGTTGGCGGAACTTACTCCACTGGGACCAGGATGGTCAAACGGGATATTAATGCACAATCTGGCAACAAGTCACCGTGTTGTCATTGAATAGCATGGAATTAAACCTTCAGAATATATGTTTTGTGAATGGTACCAAGAGTTGACAGATCTCACACATGTCTCACTCCTTGAAATGCAATAATCAGCTGTATTCAAATAATGTCTAATATAAATATAACCTAGAATGTGTACTCGTGAAAAAAGAAAAATATGGCAAATTTATAGTTTGTTTTTTGCTGGTTTTAGGTTTGCTGGTAGCTTAAAGCATATATTTGGGAATTTCTTATTCGCTGTGAATATAGTGTGGATGTTTGTTCAGTTCCTGAACAACGAAAAGTATTCAACTTTATGGATGTATGGATATCAAAAAACCTGAATGGTTTTGTGTGAATATCAATCTAAGGTGCCGTAATAGTTCTGATGAACGGCAAGTAAATGAATGAATGTTTGGAAACGAGCATTATCTGTGTCATCAAGTAGGTGCTTAAAGGCTATCTGCGAGAGGTTTATAGGAAAAGACACCCAGTATCGCATATCAATTGAAGAAAATAATACAAACATGAATTAAAAATCAGCAATAGTAATTAAAACATGAATTTTATTTAAAAATCCAACATTTCTTTAAATTTTGACTGAATTATGTGTAGTTTCTTAGTATTCAATAAGCTGGTGATGTTTTAATGTCAAGCTGTCATCTCATACTTTGACAGTATTTTGTTTTCAACATTTCATAGCTATTGGTTGCTAAAATTTGTTGACTGGAACTTGAAGCTCATTCGATGTATTTGACGGTCTGTTACCCTATAAATTGGCTCTTAAACTTTATGCAATCTTATTAGAAATCTCAAACAAGAACCGTAGAACACGACCTTGATAAACGTCTGCCACTGGCGAATACGTATTGTCATCGAGAAGAATTTCGAAAATGAATTGTTTTTTCGAGGATGTTATATGACATGTAGCCATGTTACTGACTTCCGTCTGTCTGTCTATCCACTAATGCTTGGCTCGTTTGTAACTTGGGAAGTACGGCTCAGATTTCTTTGAAATCTCCAAACAAGGTTACTACTATGGCAAGAACCGAAAAACATTGAAGTTTTTGGAAATCTGTCCAGTAATGGCGGATAAAAAATGCCAGAAACTAAAAAAAAAAAATAAAAATCGCCCAAAACTCGACCTGACCATTCTTAGAAATTTTTTTGCAGATGTTATAAATTGGATGTAGGGTGCGGGGGAGTATATTTCAATTTTTTGATGCTAGCGTTATACGTTTCCAACCCCAATAATTATTCACATGTTAGACATATATATCTCATACATCATAGATTTCCCCATACAGTTGCCCCTAAAATTTGTGTCTGTGTCTACTTCCAATGGCACGGGATAACCGAGTAATGATGGGGTTTTTTATGAGAAGGACTTACTCATGCTGACGCTATTTTCTTGCTGATACTGTCGGTAAGATTCAAATGCTCCATTTTTATACACCAAATAGGGATTAGTATTTTTCCAAAACAACTTTTTAGTTATTCTCGTAGCATATTGATGTCAGCAACCTCAAAGCCACATTTTCCCTATATAGCTATTGCGTAGAAAACATAGAAGCCCAAACTACAAGCTTCTCATTAAGATTACTGAACTATTTAGAGCTCCCAGATTAATTTGGCCACGATTTACTACAGTAAATGTGAAGCACTTAATCACAGTGTATGATGTCCATGAATAAGTTGTTGCGAACTAATTACGAGGTACATGAGTAACTAACATTCAAATTGATGCAAAATTTAGAATATGCTTTGCCAGATGTCATGAGTAAGGTAAATATATTGAGATGGAACCTGAAAAAAGTGAGGCAAATGAATTTGTGATTACTTTTCACGCCACTGTAATCGCGAAGATTTTCTTCGGTTTCTACTATGCCGAGGTCAAGAACGGTTTGTAATTTTTAAAAATCGGTTCACTGGTGGCGGAGGCGAATAAAATAAAAATTGTTGCATCTCCACTTTTTAGACGTTTCCCAGTTTCCTCATCATTTTCAGCTATGGGGGATGGAGGAGAATATTTTATAGTACATTTAAAGCCTTCCTCCCTCGATAATTCTACCTACTAGACATATTTCACGCATCATACGTTTCGCCGTACATTTGCAGTTTCAATAAACGCGTCTCTAGATGTACCTGCTTCGTGGACCGACAGATGGGAGGCTGTTGTAGCCGGAGAATGGAGAGATTAGTCATAGCACCGCTGCCAGATGGTTGGTCCTGTTGGTAGGGCAAAGGATACGTTGCCAAATCCATGTGAATTATGGACTAATTGTTTGGGCATGTTCGACTGACTTGAACCACCAAATATTTTATCATGCATGTTCGTACCTAACGTTTTTCCCACTTTTTGTCGGAGGATATTTTCATCTATATACCCCTTCATGATGTCGCAGAGTCTTATTCCTACCAGTGTTGCTCCAAGCTACTGCGTCCATTCCAAGTCAAATGCGTTCTGTAAAGAAAAAGCTGGCTGTTACGACCGCTCGGTTGTTCATATACTGTCAAGAGTGCTTAACAATCTACCAAAATAGGCTTTCGCAAGTTGCAAAAACCGTATCACGTAGCCCGTATCAATATCATCTCCCTCTATCATATACAATATATTTATTATCCATCAGACAAGCAGCATTTGTATCGGATTCGTCATTTGTAGATAGAGTGATTCTGTATGAATAAAATAGATCAACATGTTAAGAGCAAGCGAAATAATATATACACAAGAAAAAGGAGATGAAATAATTGAAATATACTAAGTGACATATAAATCCGAACACCCAGTTTAAATGGTTTTATTTTAATAAAAGTTGGTGAATGTATTTATCTTACTGTAAATAACAAGTGAAAAAATTTTCAGCCTTATCAGTTGGACATTCCGGTTTTATACTGCTTTTTTTTTTATTCACTAACGCTCCAAAAATGAATATTTCAGCCGCAGTAAAGAATCAACGTTGGCGGATTTTGGTTCTTGACATCCTTTACGATCGGTTACGATGCCTAGAGTACGGAGATCAGGGGGATCAGGAATGGAACAGTATTGTCTTTAGTGACGAGTTTCGATTTTGTTTAGCATGCACGATGGTCGTGCCAGGGTTAGAAGGCGACGTGGTGAAAGGGGGAATCCACAGTTTTTTGTTGAAAGACATGTTCAACACACTGTTGGAGTTATGGTTTGGGGTGCTATAGCTTATAGTTCCAGGTCACCTTTAATCTTCATCAGACGTAACATGAACGCGCAGCGTTATATCCACGAAGTTCTAGAACCCCATCTTTTACCCTATCTTGACACCCTGGCAGATCCTACTTTCCAACAAGATAATGCCCGACCACATGTTGCAAGAGTCACAATAGACTTCTTTCAACATAATGATGTCACATTGTTACCATGGCCACCAAGATCTCCCGACTTATCCCCAATTGAGCACGTGTGGGATATGATGGGTAGGAGATTGCTCAATTTGCAACGTCCTCCTCAGACTCTAGAAGCACTTCGAGAGGAGTTGGTGGTTGCCTGGAATGAGATACCACAGGAGGACCATCAGAGTGCTTCCACACATTATTAAAGGTCAAAGGGCTTCAAAGCAGTGCAATCATTTTGAAATTTTTATCATTTACTTATTATGCTTCATTAAGTACTTACACAAAATTTTATTAAAATAAAACCATTTAAACTGGGTGTTCGGATTTATATTTCACTTAGTATATGTATACACACTGAATACGAAGCTAAACACTCACAAAGCGTATAACCTGGTATAAGTAAAATATAAATAAATAATACAGATTAAAAATGGACGTAAAATCCATAAACAAATGGAGATGGAGACAAAGTTGTTCACGGAGTATAAACATTTGTTAACTAGATGCTTTTTCAAGTGACACTTGAAGAACTTTAGATTTGCAATGTTTTGCAGTTTCTTCGGTAACTTATTCAGTACTTTTGGATCCAGCATATTAGGTGATTTATTCCCTATGACATTCAATGAGAACTTTTGATTCATATTATCCCGCTGCCTTCTAGTTTTTGAATGGTCGTCTTCATTCAGAGTAGATATTTTCTTATCCATACTGAGAGTTCATCCATTATGAGAGCAGGTACTGTTAGGATTTTAAATTTTGCAACCATGGGTAGGAGCAACCTGTGCCATTGATGGCACATTACGCGCTTGTTCTATGAAAATGCTGTAAGCTGACGATGAAGAGCCCAAAAGTAAATTCTATATCTAATTCTGCACATGAAGTAATCCGATATTTATTCTCCGCATTCCCTGTATTGGATATTATGGGACGGTGGAAGATATCTAATTAAATCAGGTCTAATGATGCCAGCGCACAAATACTAAAAAATAAATGGAAATCATTTTTTGGCAAATCCACTACTCTTGATGCAATTGATGGGTCCACCATCAAAAAAACCTGTTAATGAAACGTGAGCTTTTTCAAAAAAAGAAAAGTAATTATACGCACAGATAGATATAGGGACTTCTAATTTCGCAAAAAGGTGAATCGCCGACGTAAAAAGTAATGCACAATCGTGTTCAATGGAAAAATGCGGCGTTGCCATAGTGTAAAATTGCATTCTTCCAAAGAGGTATCTTTGATATCGGACAGAAATATTTGAGCTCAACACGTACAATATAAGGAAATAGTCGATTTGAGGTTAGGAAGAATAATTTCGGTATTAGGCTGACAATTCTCTTTTGATCTCAAATATGATTGCCTGCTCCAGCGAAAGGACTCAAAGTCGCTCAGCTACAGCTGCCAGTGTACATCCGCTCATCTCTAGCACGCTCAACTCGTGCTTCTCCGAATGTGAAGTTACTTTTTCCAATCTCATTAAATATTCCATATTACTATCATTCTATGATCTCTCGCCGATTTGGTCTGCTGGACATTCTTGATGACGCGGTAGCTGTCCAGGCAAAGATTTGTTTAAGGTACTAACGAACCAGAGTAAATGTCCCCAGTTACAAAATGGTAACAACCGAAAATACCATCTTTATCTACCCACTCTTTCAAACAAAAGTTGTGGGATTCTGAGGGAACAAAATGACAGTGACTTTGACGATGACCTTGACTACTACCTTTAAAGTTCTTTCAAGGTAAGGTGAATATTTTCAAACAGAAGTCCCCCTTTTTATATCGGAGTTCAGAGGAGGAGCATTACCTTCAAGTCCAATTCAAGGTCAATTCAATCAAAAACGATATGCTCTAGCAAATGACCTTAATCGTGACTCCAGGGTCAAGGGAAACTTTCCAGAGCAAACATCTCATTTTTATACTGGAAGCAGAAACGGTGCAAAATGTTACGCCCGAACATCACGTTATTCATGACCTTGACCTTGAAAAAGTACGAAGTGCTACGTCCGAATGAGAACTTGACCTCACTTAATATCTAAGTTTGACAAGGCCTTGACTTTGAGGTCAAGGTCGCAATCGATCGCAAAGTTTCCTGCTTTTTCCAATTCCAGTAAATAAGAGGTTGTTAGGTTTTGGCTTGACCTTGAATTTCATGGTTTTTACGGGGTCTTAACTTTCTTACATGCTGGGCGGACAGCGGCCGATAGGTCAAACAATCAAAATTTAAATGTAACACTAATTATTAGTGAGGATAGTAGATGGATCGTCACTTAATAGAAATGTGATATATTTTTTGACCGTCACTGATTGTAACTAGATACAAGACACTTTGAGAGATTGAAAATTGCCACTAAAATAGCAGAAATATGTTAATTACAAAAATGTCACCGGCTTACCGGTTACTGGTATGAAGGTATAACGTAATCATAACTACCAATGGTTGGATAGCTTCTTCCAGATGCCGGTTAACTACCAGCTGTCTACTCTTTATTTATAGCCAATGTCGACACACAATTTCATGTTAAAAGGCTTAGTAGACAATTATCATGTTAGTTCGTGTACTTTCTATATGAGGAGGAAATATTCATTGCGATGCATTGACTATGTTTTAGAAGTAATGTGTAATTAAGTTAATTTCAAACGTTTCGCTGAGGAAATAACGTTAACCGATATTATTGAAGGTGCAAGGAATTTTTATTTTAATTGTACGCTGACACTTGACCTCTCGAGGTCGTTGCTCGGTAACCAGAGAGACCACTTTAGGCATCGTAGTTTGAACATTTATTTTCCTTTGACTTGTTACAATCTAATATATTGCTAAAGGCAATCTTTGTATTCCCGCTAGTCTTAACCTATACACAGTGTGTAACACTTGAACCTCTTCAGATGTTTGAAATAAGGCCTTACTAAATTTGAATCCTAGCCGACTCTTCCGTTCCCGTTCCCGTTGTACCATGTATCCGTAATATGCAATTAAAGTCGTGTCTCCTTTTCGTTACCGGGCAATTGTGCAGCAACAGTTATTGGTTATGGCCAAGTCTTTCCAGAATATTGGAATATTTTGGAAGGGAAGAGATACATGACGAAGTGTACCAAATATTAGTTATTTCTCACCTGTTTTGCAACATGTTGAGATATAAATTTTGTTTAACAAACTGACCTACCGTCAGCCGGATACAATTTTCAATGAGAGAATCATTTGTTGACTAATGTCGTACAGGACGGTATAATTATGGATAGAATATAGGTTCAGATTAGGCCGATATCTATTCCAATCTACTTCTTCTAGGTCCTAGGTCCATGTAGCAGGTTGTTAGTTGCGATCTGACTTGAGCTAGAACCATCAAGATAGAATCTAGTCAGTTACTATTACCTTTTTGACCTAGGAAATGACGTCAGGGGGCAGAGTCAAGAACGACAATTTGGATTATACTGGGACAGATTTGGCTCAAGTTCCACATTCTGTATACATTAGCTGCAATAAAAAAGCCCTAATTGGGCCATTCATATTCCTTCATTGACATAGTTCTACCAGATGCCAAAAAGTATGTCAAGGATCATTTCATAGGATTTCCGTCACTGACACTGCGACCATTCAAACAGATTTGGAAATGTTGGTCAGACAATAAAATACGGTATATTTTGTTCTCTCCAGAAGCCCTCAATGGTATATTTATTAATAATTAACGTATAATATAATTGGTATATGCTGGGCTATCCGTAAAATCATGTCACTTTGATAGATTTGTGCGATTAAAATCTTGTCCGGATCGTGTGGTAAAGGACGTCTTTCCTTGAGGTTCTATATCCAGTTGTTGGAATCGTAAAGGAGGTGAAAGTTTCACACACCGACATAAGCAATTAAAGAGTCTTAATTCAGTCTTTCGTTTCGTGTTTACGATATACTAACCTGTAACTGTTTTTTTTTTGTCTGGCCGCTGAATGATATCATTAGTTGTTTGAATTAATGCTTAATGGCATGTCGTTTCGGCCACCATGGTGGTTTCTTTTTAAGTACAAAGTACAATTATATAGGGATGGAAAAAGGAAAAACAAACGAACTGTCACCTGGAATACAGATAAACTAGGTATATTGTTTAGTAAACAACAACTGGAGAGTTAGGAGAAAGATCGAGATACAAACCAACATTTGCTCCATTGCGTGGACCAGACCTAACCAATCAATCTACATCACGAGCTGCCAAAAAAATTTCAGGATCGACTGTTTGAGACAAACTGAATCCCACTCATTCCACTATTCCTTTGTACTATCAAGCTACCCTAGTGCCCCATCTGGCGGCGTTCAAGTGAAACAACCGGATTCGCAAGGTATTTCCAATCGGTTTCTGATGGACGCATCCGCAACAGAAAAATTCGGAAAAGATAATTCATGTCACATATACTCGTATTCATACTATAAAAATATTGGGCTGACTCCGTCACCAAAATCGTTATCCTCTACAGATTCTATACCGATGATGGGATCTTACGAAAAAAGCTTGTCGATTGCTATAAAGTCTGGTTATCTAGGACAACGGAAAAGTGGCAACACCAGTTGGCCGTTAAAATATTTCCAATCACAATACCGTCCATAGAAGCACCGGCGGGCTCCAAAATAGGCATAAAGAGGAAAATCGAACGACGGAAAAGTCATAATGCAAAAGTAGAAAACAATACGTTGGCGTTGTGGAGTGGATTGAAATGCACGCCGGGCTGAGATATGCAATTTTAAAATTAGTCTGGCATGTGACCGGCTAGAGCTACAGCTTGGTACTTTCACATCCTGTCCGATACGCGGTTTTGGAGATGGAAGCCTGACCGTCAGGAAAGATATAAAGGCAATGAAGAGGTGTTGTTAAGAACTACAAACAATAAAAGTATGGATACACCAAATATCTTGTAAACTATAGGTGTACTAGAAAAAACCTTTGCATACACAGGTTTTAAGAAATCAAATGGCGCATCTATCGGTGACCTTGATTTGATATTGAAAGTAATCTTGGAGGTCATTTGAATAGCAAGATGATTTTTTTCAAATGGGAATCCCCTTTCCTTCATTCTGACCGTGGCTATGGCCTTGGAAATCAAACTGATTTTATTTATTATATGGAAACCCTCAATTTTGATCTCAGCGCTGAAAATGGAGAGACATTTCATTTTCAAAGGTTCACAATCGTAATCCCAAAATTTCCCCCTCTTGCTATCTTAGCTAATCTGTCAAGACCCTTCTGCGCTATATTTAATAAGATGAAAAATCATTCCTAGTCAGCCTGTCAGATTATTTGTTTATTTCAGAAAGTGTAAGGAACATGAAAGCCAAATTGCTCTGTTGCATACATTCTCCATCACTTCATATAATCCATTTAGTGATCCAGGAATGGAAATCACTGACGCTGGTGTAGGACTGTGCATCGTGGATAACGTCGCAGGTACGTCCTTTAACCGTTGGTACTCCACTTGTGACACCAACCTAAAACATCAGAGCTCGTAATATTTATAGGGCAGAAACTGCATTCAAAAAAAATTACGGTAAAAGGCATGGGTCCCAAAAATGTTCCATTCTCACGATATAGGATGCTTACGCCACTGATGAGAATTTATGTCGATTATTCCCCATGATTGGCCAATCAAACCACGTGTTTGAAATCCTTCTATAATGTATACGTTTTCATTTTGATTTGAGAAGAAAGAAAAAACGAAGTGTCACCTGAAAGGAAAATAAATAAAATCTACTGTCAAAAAGTGTTTATTTTACTGAAATTTATATAATAAAGAAGAATTTTGAATATACCTGGTTTGATTGGCCATACAAACATGGGGGACATCGACAAAATTCAATGTCAAACTTATCTTACCTCAGCATATTTCCAAAGTGATTACCAATTTCAGTTTTTTATTTGGATGGTTCATTTTTCCAGGAGACAGGACCTGTCAACGATTTATTAACAAAACGTGTAGATTCAAACATCTTGTTCAAAAATCCAATTGAGTTTTCAGAAAAGTCCATGTCGTAGATACTTTTTTTTCTTTCTACGATCGCCCGGATACCGTAAATTCTATGCCAATGATGAGGCTTGAGCCGCGAAAAGTTTTCTATGTAATAAGCATGCGGCTAGTACTATACTTCAGGACTTTGTTTAATCGCCCTGCTAAATATCCATTTTGAATCGATTATACTTACCACAATGGGCGTTTGACCACTGAATTCGATGGCCGGACTTCCAGAATCACCATTGCAGGAGCCGCTTTTACCGTTGTAAACTTCGAATGTGAAAGACACACTACCTGGTCTCAGGACTTGAGTTCTAGTGACTCTCAGTCTCCTGGATAAACTTCCTACTTCAGTTTTTCCATAGCCAATCAGTACCGCGGGCGTTTTTGGAGCCTCTAAACGTTTTTCTCGGTTCAGCACAGGAAGTCCTAAAAGTATATAAAAAGTTTAAAACAACATTCACATGTTAAAGCTTTGTAAAATTTGTACTCGCCCCTAAAATATCCTTAGTTCACTCAAGTATAACCTGTAAGTCGAAAACATACTAAAACGGAACTGATATGTTGGTATAATTTCTATTTTTACTGATAAATTGATTTTTTTGCTAATAAGCTGAGAAATCGGAATTATTTACGCAATTCCGCCATGGGAAATCATGATAATTAAAACATCCCTAGGTAAAGAACATAGGATAACAATATTTTTGCCCAGAAACCACAGATTATAATTATTATATATTTATTTATGCTTTTTGGTACGCTGACTATGAACTCGTGGTTCAAAACTCTCAAATGCAAAGTGCACAAAAAGCGATTAATGCATATATTTAAAGTTATGAAGCATGGAGAAGTATTTTCTTTTCTAGCGATATGCCACATTGAAATCATTTTTCTTACTATACGGGAAATCACCACCGCACCCGCGTTGTGTGTAATTAACCCACATCACAGAAAAGTTAGTAATGACGGATCACATACAAGGGATTTTCACACTGCCTCACATCTAGGCGCTGATTTTTATTTTCTACTTGACATCATAAAGTAAATTTCTATAAAATCCAAATGTCTGAAAATTATAATGAATGTGAAATGCAATAACTTGTTAACGTTTCATAAATAATCCTGCACGTACCATATTTTCTCACCTGGGGACATAATTCTCACCAGGGATTTACTTTTTCTATATCCCCCTTTCAAGTCATTGCAGATTCTATAACTAAAATTATTGTCGCTGTTTGTATTGGGTGTTTTTTTTTCGAGGTATAGAACTTTTCGATTATTATATTTATATACAGGGTGACTTTGAAGTTGAGTCATTAATTTTCAGATAATGATTGTAGAAGGAAGATAAACCAAAATATGTATGTAAAAATAAAAAAAAAATAGAAAAAAATTTCTACCTTGTTTTATAAAGTATCCTCCCGACAAGTATTTCAGTGCGGACCTGTATTTGATCGTGAGGTCCCCTGTGAGGTCTTAAGTCACCTGATTCACAAGCCCGTTGTACTACATTAACAAAGGCACGAGGGGTTGGTTGCACTCGATTGGGAAACCGATCCGCATAAACATGTGCCATTTTTTATTTCGTTTGAGCTACGCAACACATACCACTATTCACTGACACTAACTGTATACAAATGAATGAGATACCTGTAAAAACATCGTTCCAAATTCTTTCGCTTTTTTGCTTCCGATGCGATGAACCGATACGGCGGATTATATCCATTGTCGCCAAACACGACCACATAATATTGTTATTGAGACAGGGCGGTACTCAAACTTCCAAAGGGCTATAACTTTGTTACTTTAATTTTACCAGGAAAATGGTAAAGGAAAAAAACATTTCTTTTGATCAGATCTACTCACTGTTAAAATAAATGACTCAACTTCGAAGTCACCCTGCATATATATTATTATTCGATTGAACGAATTTTTTTTTATTCGAAAGATAATCTTGTGGCATTACATTTTAAATATGATTTCTGGCATATGACTGCCACGGCTGGCTCGGATGTAGTCCAATCTGGACGTCCAATTTTCGATGACTTTTTTCAACATTTGTTGGATATCGGCAATAACATGGCGAATGTTGTCTTCCAAATGGTCAAGCGTTTGTGGCTTATCCGCATAGACCAATGACTTTACATAGCCCCACAGAAAATAGTCTAGCGGTGTTCACAAGATCTTGGAGGCCAATTCACAGGTCCAAAACGTGAAATTAGGCGGTCACCAAACGTGTCTTTCCATAAATCGATTGTAGCACGAGCTGTGTGACATGTTTTCGCCGTCTTGCTGGAACCACAGCTCCTGAACATCATGATTGTTCAATTCAGGAATGAAAAAGTTAGTAATCATGGCTCTATACCGATCACCATTGACTGTAACGTTCTGGCCATCATCGTTTTTGAAGAAGTACGGACCAATGATTCCACCAGACCATAAAGCGTACCAAACAGTCAGTTTTTCAGGATGTAACGATGTTTCGACATAGACTAGGGTTAGCTTCACTACAAATGCGGCAGTTTTGTTTGTTGACGTAGCCATTCAACCAGAAGTGCGCTTCATCGCTAAACAAAATTCGCTCATGAAAATCGGGAACAACGGCAATCTCGTTTTGGGCCCATTCAACGAATCTACGTCTTGCCTGATGATTGTTTGGCTTCAATTCTTGCACGGGTTGAATTTTGTAAGAACGCAAACCAAGATCCTTCCGCAAAATCTTCCATAAAGTGGGTGGACACACATCCAGTTCATGTGCTCGATGGCGGATGAACTCATTCGGGTCTTCCTCAATGCTACGCTCTGCAGTAGCAATAGCTTCTTCTATGCGCACCGTACAGCATCTCTGGGACTGCGAGTTATCAATTAGAGTAAACGTGGTGCATAAACGTTCCATGGTTAATCGAATTAACTGCTCTGATGGACGATTTTGTCGACGATAAAACGGACGTAGTGCGCGATACGTATTCCGCACAGAACCATTATTTTCGAAATAAAACTGCACAATTTGCAAGTTCAGGCGTGAATCTACTCACGATTTATTTCCAAACCAAACTGAGAACAAATCACTTGACAGCTGTCAAATCGGTCGCCATCTTCAAAAGTAATGCCACCTTGAAGTTCTATACCTCGAAAAAAGACACCCCTTATTTATTCACCCAATTATGGGCATGATGATGTATAAGTACCCGTCAATAATGGCATACTTCTCCACCAAGGTATGTAATGTACTATTACTTCAATCTGACTATATGCAGTTATGTCGACAAGATAATCATAAATTTGCATGAAAGAAATTCTTATTGATAGATTTCGATGAACAGCAACGTTCTTCTTTTTTGATGATAGATCATAAAAAGAGTAACTTTAAACTTTGACAAGACAAATGAAAATGTATACCTACTCTTCAGCTTAGAAGGTCGTTGCAATTGAATCACACCTATATCGTACTTTGTCAAGCCTCTTTGGTGACGGTACAATGGATAAGGAATAAGTCTCGATGCTGGTATAGTCTCTCCTGTCGCTTCCAGAAACACCTGTAGGCCTTGATATAGCTTGAAAGTTCTGAAATATTCAAAATATGTTAATAGAGTTATACAGAGATTCTTGACATCCCCTCCGCCACTCTTTTATGTGCGATCCAAGTGAGGCAGTTGACACTCGGATTAATGGAGAGGGTTAGTTACAACAGGAGTTAAATCCTCTGAGAGAAAAAATATGTACAACCGAAAAATTCAACCGATCAAGTCAATCAAATGATATGATGTGTAAAATATGGCTAATAAAGTAGGTGCATAGGGAGCGGATCGATACTATATATAAGAAAATGAGGTATATACACTCCATCCCCTTATTTCTTAGCCCTTAAATTCATTTCCAAAAATGATCAGGATTATCTGAAACGTCAAAAAAAATCCCCTCATTTTTTAGCTTGTAAATTTTTTTCAAAAATTTTGGGCGATATTTATTTTTTCCCATTCCTCCTCCGCCACTAGACATAAAAATTTCTGCTAAATCCGAAAAGTACCTTCAAATTATAGACGAGCCAAGAATTAGCGGACAGACATACAGACAGACAGACAGACCAAAAGGCAGACCCACAGAGAGACTGACAGAAATTAGTGACCTCGTTTTTCGTGATATACATGTCATATAACAAAAGATAGTATCCCATTTTCGAAATTCTCTGTGATTACAATTCTTCCTCGCCCAGTGGCGTAGGAAGTAAAAAATAATATAATGTCATTGAAAATTGGTATAATGTTAACTTGTGTACAAGCTAGTCTCTGGTCTACACGAAGCGCACTTGCTGATAGCGCTACCTATGGAGATATGGTACGGCAACTTATTTATTCGTCATTTGTTTGTCTGGGCGGTCCGTAGGACCTTTGTCCATTAGTCACTGTCTGATGTACGTTAGTCGAATCTGTCAGTCCTGGTTGCCCAGAAACCAGACAAAGTCCAGGAAAAAGAGAAAGGAAAAGAGAGGAAAAAAGGAGAAGAGCAAAGAAAAACAGATATGCTTAGTTTAAGAGGAAACACCTAGGCTTGTTGACTTGGTACACGGATTAATTTTGAGGTGAACTAAAGAAATTTTTTGATTCGGTTTTGTTAGAGTGTAATTTTGAGTTTACTAAAGATTCACGCTAACTTTTGATTACAGTGCGAGCCGTGGCCTTGAATGTTTACGAACTTGCTCCACTGTGTAGTCCACTGAGTCACGCAACAGAGGGTTGTTGTGGGATTCCGCTTGACTATAACGTCGCTGCGCCTGGAGCTTGACATAATCCCTCAAGTAAGGAATGTCAAGGTCTCTGTGTAGTGTCTCATTTGAGACATACCATGGAGCGTTGCAAATTGTCCGTAAAGTTCTGCTTTACAGTACTTGAAGACTTTGCATGTGTGTCTTGGCGAGAAAACACCAAGGCGCACATGCATAAGTTATGGCTGGTCTAATAATCATTTTATATAGTCGAACTTTGTTTATCAAACTGAATTTGGAGGATCTACATAACAAAGGATATAGTTGCCGAAACGCAATTTGGAATTTTGTTTTTATGGATGCTGTAAGTTTCTGCAAGGTCATGCCTTTATCAAGGGTGACACCGAGATACTTGGCAGAATTTGTCCATGGTACACCATTTCCGTCTACAGAAACCTCTGCTGGGAGGCCGCGACGTTTTTTGGTACAATAAATATCCTGCGTTTTCGAATGATTAATTTTTATCAGCCACCGTTCCGCCCACTCTAGAACTTCGTCCACCGCCTTCTGCAACCCATCGTGAACCAGATCACCAGTACACAACTGGGCCACAAGTGCAGTGTCGTCAGCATAGAGGTAGACTTCACAGTTGCTGGGGGAAGGGACATCATGGATGAAAAGCGAATAAAAAATTGGTCCTAGGACCGAACCTGAGGAACACCGGCCTCTACTGGCCATGTTGTTGACGAAACATTGTTAATTTTGATCTGAAACTTCTTCCTTCAAGAAAGGATTTCAGTAATTTTAGAAGCCAAAAAGGAAAACCCTTTTAGATTAGTTTACAGATGAGGCCCGCATGCCACACCTTGTCAAAGGCTTTTGAGAGATCCAAAAGCAAAATGCCAGTACTCTGGTTACATGCTCCACCAGCCTGACTGCCTGTAGCTCGGTGCTATGCTCGGACCGAAAACCGAATTGGACGTCAGGAATCACTTGGTGATTTGACGAAAAATTCTCAAGGTGACGATAAATCACCTTTTCGGCGAGCTTAGGAGCTGACAGCAGACTTATGGGACGGTAATCCTGAGGAAATATCGAACCCACCTTCTTTGGAATCATGATGACCTCAGCATTCTTCCACCCAGCAGGGAAGTACTGGATTTTGAGCGTCGCATTGATTATTGTCACCAAGTATGTCAGGGCTTTCGGCGAGAGCAGCTTCAACGCCTTGTTGGTGATTTGATCCTCCCCAGGTGCTTTACGTACCTTGTGGTCTTTAAAATGACTTAGGAGCTCCGCTGGTGTGCAATGTGGAAACTCGGAGGGTTCCGCTAATGTGCTATGTGGAGCCTCAGACGAATCTTCTGAAGAAGAGTCATCTGAAGAGGATTCAGTGCATCCGCTAACGCCCTTGGCCCTAAAATATCTCCTGACAGATCGTACGATGTGCTGTTCCTCGTCGAGGTCATTATCGAGATCATAGTTGGGAGAGAACTGTTTTTCCATGGCATCAGCAAAAACCTCGACCTTATCCTCCGTTCTGAAGACTATGCTTTCAGGACCGTGGATGTGTGGGAGTTGTTCTCGCTTTCCGTTTCTGAGTGACTTTGCGACCCTCCAGAGAGGAATACTTGAATCAAGCATTCCCGCCAGAAAGTCGCTCCATTGCTCGTTGCGGAGTTCGTGCAGTGCGTTTCTCACTTCATGGATAAGATTTGTAGCCCTACGAATGTCGTCAGGATGACAAGACCTTTTTGCCTGCTTAATAGCGGCTCTTTTGTCAGAGATTTTCTGGCGAATGTCCGCACGCTATAGAGCTGCTTGAATTAAACTTGTCCACTCAGCTTGAGCGGCATCTATTCCAGACTCATCATCTATAATCGGGATATTGGGAAACCCTCTAAGGACGAACTTGTATAGGTCCCAATCAATTCGCTTCCTTGGAGGAGCTGCCTCCTCAGAAGTTTGCTCATTGTCCACATCCAAGACAACAGGTAGATGGTCTCTAGAGATATCATACAAGATTAGAGAAGAGATAGTGTATCTACAGTTTTTAGATATCGCGAAATCGATGACATCTGGTATCTGAAGGTGGTTGAATGGATGATGTGACGGCTCTTCAGTGCTATGTATAAGGTACCCATTTCGCATCACATGGTTGTACAATCGAACCCCACTAGTGGAATTCAACCTAGAATTTCATGCTCGATGTTTGCAGTTGAAGTCCCCTGCCACAATAAGGGGACCCGAGTAGTCCAAAAGGACCTCCAGATCCGCCTCTTGCAGCCTGGCGGCACCACACCTGGCATACACCGATGTGATCTTCAACGAGACACCTCTATACCTTCATCCAAAAGAGCTTGATGAAATTCCCGTTTTTTGGGAATATCCCTCAAGCCCAAACAATTCCAAAAAAGAATTTTGATGAATGCAGGCTGTCTACTATTGTACCTAGACATTTACAGGAAATATCGCCTGCAACGCTTGGGTAGCGCTAATCAGTGGGCTTATTATTTGTTGTAAGGACCTTAGCGCGGTTGCCAGGTCCACATCAATCGAATGATGTGAAGAGGGCTATATCCCCTCTGCTCTACTTCTTCCTTAATCTCAGTATCCGAAAAGTTGACGGGAACTCCTCGAACCACCGCATAGATGTTCCGTTCCGAAGGGAGAGGAAAAGTGTGATGGGGCACTTCTTCCTCTCGAAATAGGCGAACGATCTTACAGCAGTCGTCCTCGGATTTAGGAATAATCCTTATTCCCGCATCGACGGCAACCGCGCGATCTATTTTAATACCTAGGGAAATAAACTTGAAATTTAAAGTACGCCATCTCGTCTCGTCACGTCGCGTAAGACGATCGGGGTTATGCGCCCTTGTCGTGAGGGTTGTGTTGATGCCACGACGGTTGGACGAGATGACGGAGGGGAAGTAACATCGGCTGACGGAGTCACCTAACAGGTAGATAACGTGGTCCCTGGCTTGGTAGCAGAAGTATTAATAGTGTTTCGATTTGATGAAGTGGGGGAGGTGTGAAATGGAATTGATCCTGTATTCGGAAGAGGAGGAAAGTCTTGAGTTGATCGATCAGCCTTGTCGCCTTTCCTTTTTCTTTGATTTTGCTTTTACAGATACTTCGGTCTATACGTCTTCGTCTGTGGATGTGAGATGATCATCAGTAACGTTTCTCAGTGGTCTTTTTAGGGTTTTTGTCCGTTCATTATGGGATTCTTTTGAATTAAGTAATATTGTTACCTGGGCGGTCAGGCTGTCAATTTTGGCTATCTGGTCTTTGATGGTCTCCATTAGGTCTCGAATTTGCCTCGCCTGGTCGTCTATAATCAGTATCAGTTTTTCAATCTTTTTCTGCTCCGATGAAATCTGCGTCAGTGAGCTCATGTTTTCTGCTTCTGCTTGGTTTCCGCCACCGCTCAGCTCTTTCCTCATAGTATGTGAAACTGCGTCGTCTGTTGATCCTCATGGGTCATCTTTTAACAACTTTTTCTCGCCAACAAATCTCAGAAAACTTATAGCTCGCAAATGTGACAATCTTGTCAAAACCCTTCTTACAGGGCGTCTAGGTACGGCGACTTATAGTACCGAATTCACAGCTCGACGTCTTGGTAACATGAGCTCCCACAAGTGAATATGAAGTGACTGACAGGTAGTGCCAAGGTGACATTCTTTCGGAGAACCTACACGATGTCATTGGGAATCGATAATCAGTTCTTAAGTTGCGTAATTCCGGTGCATCCCTCAGCGTTCGTATAATTAAACTGTGTAAATTTGAATGAGCTTACAATACAAACCTCGGATTATAAAGACAGTGTGCTGCAGTAATGGCAGTTCGAGGTGAAATCAGTGCACCACCGCAGGCAAATTGGCCTCTGTGACGAAGTATCGCCTGAAAATAGGAAACTAATTATCCGACAGTACTTTATGGTCGTAAGAAAATGGCAACAATTGAAAACATCTGAAATGTCATAACCAGATGATTTGGTAGTCAAGTTAATGAAAATGAGTTGCTAGAAACTTGGAAATATGGGATGAAGAAGTTAAAAGTTGTAACTTGAATATTATTGCACAGAAAGCGGAAGTCATGGATATGAGAGAACACAAAGGAAACGTCAAGCTAGATGATGTAGTAGTAATGCAGATACTTGGTCTCAATATTTGAGCCATGGCAACTTTGAAACACTTAAGGAACCAAGGAACGTGTGAACTGACTAGTTGTGGACGTGCGAAGTTCAACAGATTTGGGATGGGCTCGTCCACCTTGCAGGCTCAACGCGAGGCGGTATCATGTAGGAGAGCTTGATGAGTAAATCCTGCTGATATAGTAGTACAAGAGAGCAAGATCGCCGATCACCCGTCGATGCCAAAGGGTCTTGAGACCGTCCATCAGAGAAGTGTCATCGTTCGGTCGAACTGCCTAAAAATGTGAGTAGTACTTAGTAGTACTCTTATTCACGCAGTGAGGAGATTGTACAGAAAAAAACTACTTCTTAGCCCTAAATAAGGTAAGGGATCCGGATTTCAGGCAGGATAGACCTAGGGGATCCAGGAACAGCGAAGTATAAAAAGGTTTGAAGAATTGAAAAGCATCGAAAGTCGTGGAAGCAGATGTGCAAAGCAATGTTAAAATGTTTCAGCAAACCTTACAGCTACGGCCTTAGCAGCTAGGCGGTATTACAGTTACTCCACAAAATCAAGCTGTTGACTAAGAAGGAATTATCGATAAAACAAAATCTTAGAGGATTGTTGAGGAAGAGTCCGAACATACATGCTTTTTTCAACTTTGCGACAAAATCTTGAATTTATATTTTCACAATTGCAAAAAATCTGTTTTACTGAACTTTTCACAATAACTCAAAAACCGTTGACTTTTTTACGAAAAAAAAATAGCACCGTTGTAGAAATTAAAATGACCAACACTTTATATGAATCGATTCAACTTGTTCGGAATATAGCCAGCTGAATGGGTACTATGCACGCCCACAGAATTTACATCAATTTTGCATGAGTGATTTTAAGCTAAATAATAGGGATCTGGATTCCTGGGGGCTAGAACTAGACTAGCTCTGCCTCTCGGTGGATACACCGCTATTTTCCAGGCGAAAGTATTTGCGATTCTGGCGAAATCAGGATCAATGAGCAAGCTCGCACATGTTCTGTTTCGCTGCAAGGTTCTGAGCTACTAAAGGCAGACTATATTGGGTTTCATCTTATTGGATTCCCAGAACATCAAGGAGCTGGGACTCAAGGCTATACTCAACTTGGCCAGAAGGGCGGGGCTTGAGGCTTAGAGGTGCATAAGGGCCCGTTTAAGTCGCCTATGCGACGGCTCCTCATGGTGGCCGGTATGTCCCTAATTTTATTATTCATTCGTTCATTCAAGTTCAATAATAATAACAAATGAATTTGAATCTTTCATGTAAAGAAAAAATATAGTTCGTTCTTAACCATGTAATTAATAGTTCAACAGTACATCGTTTGAAGGAGGAAGAACAATGCAGAATCAGACGCTTGTTAATTGAACAATGACTGTACGTGCCGAAAGTGTTGTGATAAAAATGATCAAAAAGTGTTTTAGTGTGATTCGGTTGATCTCTTAATTGATTTTGTTCATGAAACTTCCAGAAATTGTGCATTGGAGCTAGCTTTCCGTACGAGAAATAACTGTAAGTACAATGAGGTTGGTAAGACTAAATAGAGCACCACACGATTTCCTAAAAGAAGAATTTGGATTTTCTTGCACTGAGAATACGTAATGTATGACACATATAAAAAGGTACTTGGAAAGTTTTGCAATTACAAGTATTTCTCGAGATAGGCAAAATCGTTTTTATTTTAATTTCATTTAATCAGCCATAGTCTCGATAGAAGTATTTTAGCCAGCCAACTCAGTCCTGCGCTGGGGGCTTTGACCTAAGCCCCGCATTTAGGTTGGTGAGCCTTCGCTCTTTCCTCGTCGATTGGAGTCAGTCACTCAGCCGTCAGTCAGTCATTTGCTGTTTGTCCTCGTCTCCTAAGGTTAACCCCGAGTCCGTGCTTGACTCTGGCCACCTCAATCGACAGGCTTCTTTTTGTCCACCCGTTGTACACGGGCTGCTCTTTCCCCTCTTGGGTGTACAACTGTTGTCGGTCTACTCCCCTTTTCTTTGGCCTCATCAGTTGCTAGTGTCATTCATCTCTCATTTGATACGCGTAGTATAGGAGTGACCACAGAAATTGTAAGTGGCCATTTTGCGGATGCCGCCATAATAGATTTCGAATGACGTCACGTTGCTTACTGTGTTTTCTTCATCAAGACTTTTCATTTAACACCAATTTCATACGGGTTACTAAAAATCGCCATCATGTAGCATTCGCGATATTCATTCATAATGTCGGCATTTAATTGTTGTTACACAAAGCCAACCCGAATACAAATGTTAAAGTAAATGTAAATGTTAAGGTAAATTGATCCAAAATTCAGATTTGTCCTACACATACATACATACTAACAGGCTTAGTTGCATTGCAATCAAATATCAGCTGAACTGGTTCAAAATCGAGTTTTAAGACTTACTAACAAACAGGTCAAGTTAAATAAAAGCGTATAAAAATATATATTGAACGATTTTGTGGCAAAGTTGAACAACATAAATACTTAAGACTATTCTTGAACAATTATGTGCTGTCCCTAATTTTTCTGGAGTTGCTCCTTCTGTAAAGCTCTGAGAGGTGGATATAAACGAACTTGTGCTCATACTTTACCATATATGGATACTGTCTGACATCTGCAACCTGACCATTCACTATCCGTGGTTGTACGACCTTACACTCTGCCTACAACAAACAATATAAGCTATTTTATACGAAGCTTAGGCCAAAAATTCATATAGCTGTGGTAGTAGGTATAAAACTTCGGATAACAGTACAGAGCATTTAGTTTTGGAACATGTAACTTTATTTGGTTTCCACACATATCGCCATCTTGGTAGTGTATGTACGGAATTACCAAATATTTCAAAATGTGATAATAAATTCCATAATATACAGAAAATACTTTCAATTTATACCATAAAAGCATTTGTCTGCTTGCAATGAACCACCGATCAACTACTGACCAACCCCGTTGACTTATAAAGTAGAAGAAAGAACATAATATGTGCACGTATGTCAGTCTTTCAATTTAATACCGCATTTAATTTTTTTAAACATCTCCGTATTTTCTTTAACTATAATGCTCACAAAACACAAATAAAGTTCAAACATGCTCACCTTTAAAATGACTCCAACAACGATAAGTACACTTAGGAGATACATGGTTGCTGATATTCAATGCGTGTCCAAATGTTCAAGTTCATGACAGATACTTCTTTACGTAGGCACCAGCATAATTATAATATTTTTCCACTATCTGCCACAAAAAGATAAACCTTATCATATTTTGAATTTGTATCTAGAAAGTATTTATCTTGTACGAGTACATTACTTCAATTACTTTTATACGCCGCTTACGTGAAGGCAAAACTGCTTTTCCCTCAATATACTGCTCAATTTTGGGTAATATTGCGAAAATAAGTGCCGTTGATCTAATCCAAAATATTTACGATGCGTTGGATGAAAACAAAGTTACAGTTACGTTTTTTTATTTGTCGCCAGCGTTTGATAGGGTGGAAAAATTGTTCAAGCTAGGTTTCCGAGGTGCACCTGATTGATTGTTGGGATATTTTTGTCAAAAGGTAAAAAACCTGGATCTGGGACGCAAAACATAGATATAAAATAAATACCCTTATATATTACAAAGTTTTCGTATAAATAATAACGGCAACGTCCAATAAACATAATATACCCAAAAAAGTGTACACTTGTGCTTGGGTTTTAACCGAAGTTGAGTTATATTAATACAACAAATTTTCTTTAAGTATACTAGTCAAATGTATAAATTTGAATCATTTTGTGATCAAATAACATATAGGTTTTTAGTGTCAACAAACTTATGGATTTGTAGCCATGGTTGATTTAGGATCCATGATTTTAATTCAATTTTTAAACGTTTTTTACGTTTTATATGTTTAGGGTTTGCAGGAATAACATATAACAATATAGGATTTTGAGCATAGGAAATATAATGATCTTTGGCTGATAGTTTTAATAGGAATTAGTGCAGAGGTTTCCTTGAATCGCCTAAGTGCTATTACTTGATTTGCTCACACAAAAAAATAATTTAACAATAAATTCTTTACTAACTGCAAAACTATGCATCCGCAAATGCTGTCATGGCTTGCAGTATTGTCGTTTAGGGATAGTCTTCTGACGCATCAAGAGCTTTAATACACAAAATGGATTACAGATATTAAGCATCATGTCGTACACCATTTAAACACTTTTGTTGCCATTCCCCTTTATGGATTGCACTGTTCTATACACAAAAGAAAAAGTGAGCGCAATAGCAACAACTTCAATCGCAGTTATTTCGATCGTGAATGATATGAAGTCTGCTTAAAGCACTATAATAACATCATCTACAGGAAGCATCCCGTAAATGTTGCTTGCAGACTGTATAACCTCCTTCCTACGGTATTGAAAAATGCTGGATTATTAGATTTATAGCCATGTTAAAAAGCTTCTACGATCGAGAAATTCATTGCTTGTTTATCTTTATAGTTAGCGATATTGTGTTATGTGCACTTTATATGTTGTTTTTCTTTTCGATATGTATCTGCTGTACCTATAGCATGAATGATTTTGCTGTTCGTCTTCATGTTAAACGGTGTAGTGTTTTGTATACGTTTTCTGTCTGTTCTTTTCTTGGCATGACCTATCTATTTGTATTTATATTATTTGGGTCCAAATAAAATTGAATTCTAATTTGAATTCGAATACCAAAAGGCGGTCATGGTGCTATCCTGGGCTACCTATGGAAGTATCTTATCCCACTGGGTGGAGATACGAAGCAATCACTTTGGATTTTTTATCTCATTGGAATGACCTGAGACCTTCCAAGGCGATCCAGGGCAACCTGAGTATCTCGTGTGTATGTGTTACGTTTTTGTTACAATCGCAGGCTTACTGGCAAGGTGTGAGTATAGTGTATCGAGTATCTAAAGAGCCTTATTCACACCAACTGCGTTAAAATGCATAGTGGTTCCTCTTTTTTTTTCTTTAATGGCAGGGGAGTTTGATGTCCTATTTAGTTACACGCGGTGCTTTTATTTTCCCACAACGATGTCCATGGTTAGCCAATATATTGTAACATAGTTAGCTATGTTATAATAAATTGCCAATGATTTGATAACAATAATACCCAGTATTAAGAAATTTGATCGCAAATAAAGAAGTTATTAATTGACCTTACACATTACATGGTTATGTAGGTGATTATAAATAATGTAATACTTTTTATTTTATTACTTTTTCTCACACGATTTATTTTCTGGTATTATGTTTAAAGTCATGCACCAATATATTCAATCAGAAAACTGCAGAAACAACTGAAAAGCTCCAGAGACACGACCTATATCCAATCGCCACAAATAGATAAGTTAGGGAGACCCATCAGCAATTTTATATTATTCTACGGCACGGGTATTACTTATCCTGAAAAGCGACAATATGTCCTTTTTTTATGAAATTGTATTGTTTTTTTGTGACATTATGTAGGTTTTTCTACAAGATGTTAACTTAGCACCAGCTGATAGACACGTCGTGAACTCGTTTTGCAGTAGTACGTGTTCCCTAAGCGTCATGAAGTTTCAGTTATCAATGTCTGGCTTTAACATGATGTAAAATCTGCTTCACAGATGGCATTACTGGAGATCTATGCTGTAACTTATATACTATATCTATAAGGAAACTGCAAACCATTGATGCGTAGGGAGGATTTGTGTGCTAATATGTGTTGATGATAATTCCATTCAATTCTTGTCTCAAATTCACTTACTTGAGATCCACAAGCTAGAGATTAGTTGCGCATCCACTTTTTCTGATTCATTCTGCAAATCACATATGCATATTTGCTGAATTTAAAAAATGAGAGAGATAAGAAATCATTATATTTACTGTACACTGTCGAATTACAGGTCATATACATGGTAACAGCAATTACACACAACGCGGGTGCGGTGGTGTGATTTCCCGTGAAGTTTTTACAAACACAAAAAAAAAACGTCGAACATCGTAATTAATAACTTTGAACACAACCTGTCTTCAGAAAGGATAACATAATTATAAATAACCCATTGGGCACAGCAGATAGATATACTTTATGGGCAGCATATTCAGTATAGACAGTAAATCTCACTGAAAAAATATCATTCATGTTTAATATAGAAATTTAACGGATCAGACTGCAGGAGACGCGAATCGAAAACGTTGCTCTATCATTCTGTTTTAGGTACATGGTCATGGAGTGATTCTGTTCGAAATAAGCGACTATGTTGTCTACCCCGTTCAAATGTTATTCATATCAAAGTGGAGAACATAAGGTGAAGTTCCCCACCCCCAGTAAGTAGCAAGTGTTTTTGAAGCTTTCTAAGAAGGTTTTTCTTCTACTGACACCTCAACAGCCATATACCTGTGTTCAGCGGTATAACGGTATTGTTGCTAGGTTAAGTTGGTTGCATCGCCACAGATACTTCTGAGGCAAATTGTACTTCAGAGTACAAGCTACTAAGATAAAGAATCACAATCAAATACCGCTTAGACTACATAGTTATTAATACCTTTGTTTGTGACCACAGATCTTACGAAACTTTTCTACCATCATCACATACAGGTAGGGTAATTTTGAAGTTGGACAGTTATAATGAGTGATGTAAACAGAGCTCTTTTTGTACAAGTTCAAGAAGTGACCGAAGACAATATTAGTCTAATATAACCTGTATATGCAGTGACATCTTAAAAACGACTTGACCATGAGTATCAGGAAGAGTTCTGTGGGGTTGACTGAGGACAAGTGAAAAATGGGAAATAAAGTCCATTGCTTTATTGCAGTAATTTACATTCGCCTTCAAACGGTGTTATTCATGATCCAGTTATGGAAGCTGCTGACGCTTGTGTACATACCTTGGCCATTAACAGCATCACATGTTACGTCATTGACATTTTGCTTCCCCCCGCTTAAGACTCCAACCTAAAACATGAAAACTCCATGCTAGATTATGTTACCACTAATGGAATACAACCCAAGCTTTAGGCGTAATATTAGTGATTTCGTCTACTGTTAAGTGTATCGAAATAGGGTGGTAAAAAGTGATATCTATTACCAGAATCGACCACTGCGAGGGTGTACAGCAGCTATCTGTTGGACTGTAAATATTTCGGGCCAAGTATTCTCGTTCTTCATAAGCAAAGCATTCCAAGTCGCTCAGCGAATATGACGTCATTTTTACTTGATGCGCTTGTAAATATACGGTATTCCCGTTTGTCTCAGGCTATACGTTTTTTAAAATAGATTGTCATTTTTAAAACGCCTAAGGCGAGGTTCAGCTATTCCACCATCTAACATTTGAGAAAAGCAGCACTTTTAACAAGTATTCTTACAGAATTTGACGGTACATGTTGAATACAGTTTACGTATGAAAAAAAAACTAAATAATTTTCATAATATGCAGAAATTTGAGGCCATATGGATATTGGGAGTTAAGTCGTATTTGAATATCAAAGTTAACTTGTCTAATTCGCCTTGTGAAATTATTGAAATCAAGATGTTTAGCAGTCGATGATAATGCATTATATACGAGACTGATCGCGTTACGAGTACGGCATAGTTAAAGTGTCAGTGATCGAATATATTATGAACGGATATATACATATATCAACCTGAGACTGTGTTCTGTCGTATAGTTTTCAATAGAATTCAGGTCGTCGATTATTTGTAATTTTGAAAGCTCTAAACTTTCATGTTTGAAACTAGGACATAATTCCGAGTCGGTATTCAAAAAAATGAATACTACAAAATTTCACAAAACTATTTGTATCTGTTATATACAAAATAAAAGAGGTGCTCCAAGAAAGAATACTTGAGGTACTCTTAAGGAAATCGGACGTTGTGTAGAAAATTCTGAATAAACTACGACTTTTTGGCATCTATTTATCAGAAAGCTGCCATCGAAACCATAATTATTGCATTTATTAATCAAAAGAGAGTGATTTGTTGTGTCGAACAATGCCTTTGTGAATTCCAAGAGAACTGATTTTCTAAAAAAGATCGAGGAGTGCACTTGCCGTACTATGGCCTTTTCGAAATCCACATTATTTTTCCGTCTGGGTTGTTATTGCGTTATGCGATGTTGTAGTCTCTTGAATAAATTCCCGGTACCAAGTGGCATACCTATTTACTGGCGTAAATTCAATTATAAATATTGAAGACCTGAAGCGGCAAAGACTTGAGGTCAAAAAACCCTTTGAATTCCCCTTCTTGAAAAAAATTGTAAAACTGTACCGTCTAAAAAACTGGATGTGTAAAACTTGGAAGAAATACTGCAACCACTTTTGCCGGTGCCTTATAGTTCGCTCGTGAGGTATTGGAGCAAATTGTATTTGCAAGGCTAACGAAGAACACATATAATAGTAATGAAACACTGCTGCTTTAATTAAAAAGTAACTGATTCTCAAACTACTGATTCTAATTATTATATGGATGTGACATCATTTTTCTAGATAATGTCTGCATTCCATTTCTTTGCCAGCGGAAGTTACTAACTTCACGTACACAGAACTCATTCTGTAACTCCGGCCATCTCTGAGAGTATAATGGTGACATTGAAAAAAGCATCGTGGCCAGAGCGTGTCAAGCGGATTGAACCTAAAGCCTTCGCAAAGAAACGTGAATACCTTAACCAAATGCTTAACCGTTTTGTTGTATGACTTGATCTGCTGAGTATTTGGAAAGCGTATCGCTTTCAAGCTACTATGATCGCTAGGTACCGTCGATTCTAGCAACAACGTACTCGTCACTGAAATCTAACGGTACGGCTTTCGTTCCTCCGATCAACAGGACCAATCGTGTGCAGTGCTGTCTCATACGTATCACCATCAGGGCATCAAATAAAAGTCACCATCGGAATACGACAGTACGGGTAGTCCATTATCTAGTATATCGCCAGAATCTGCGGCATCAGGTGGTCAAAGTGATGCCTCGACGGGAACTGTGACACGTTTCTGCCAGTAGGTAGCACTAGCGCTGTCATATTCCCATAGGTGGCTATTATTTAATGACAAATTCCCGAAATACCTATACGTACCACTATTGGCATTTTTCCATCAAATATTATTGCCGGACTTCCAGAATCACCGAAGCAAGTGCCGCTTTTACCATTAGAAATGACGATTTGATGTTGCTCAGTAAGGGAACGTATAAAAGATTTAGTGCCTCTCAAATTACTGGATGGATATCCAGACTCAGTTCTCCCATAACCAAGGAGCAATACGGCTGTGCCCGGCGCCTGGTAGATTTGTTGTTGGTTCAATGCAGGAAACGCTGGAAATTGAAAAAATACAAACGCCTGAAGCATTCATCTTCTCATCTAAACACTCGATGCCATTCAGATATTATCGAGAAAAATTGAATTACAAATTATCACAATTGATAGAACGGTATAGAAACCTCCTACTTTACTGCGATTATTATACGGAGCAGTAAAAAAATAAGAATATATTTTTTATGGACAACTTAATGTTAGTTATAATGTCCAAAGTATATATCGCCGGTTTGGAAGAAGACTGCTACAACCCAAAAATTGACTTTTCCAAACATACATATTTGAAAAACTAACTCTGAATAGCCCATATCAATATCATGAGCAATCAGGGGCGGTTTCAGCATTATGAATTAGGGGGGTTAGGGAAGTAAGTACTGTAGGTTGCCTATTTTCAGGGGATATTTTCAAGTTGTCCTCGGATTCTCATTTTCCCTCTTCCCTGTATCTCTCCTCCTTTTTCCTTCGTTCCCTCTTTTTTCTTCCCTTTTATCCTAAAATCTTTTTCCTGCAAGTCTTGGGGAGGGCTCCTGGATCCACGCTAGTGAGTAATGCCACAAGTCAAGCTTATCTTTAAACCGATAGATAGCGGATAGGAGTTTGGGTCTGTCTCTGCTGAAAATTCATGAGTTGTGACAGTCTTCCTCTGTGGGTCAATATTACTACAGGAGCAGTGTGTACGACCAATTTTATAGGAATTTGATACACTGTATCTGGTGTTTATCCACATATCCATCCTGATACCATTTGTTTGTGAGAATACCCAAAATGTTTCGGCAAATTTGACAGATCTTCGTAGTTTTAGGTTCGTCCCTTATACCTTCACAAAGATAATAAAAAGGTATACCTACTATTCAGTTCCGAAGGACTTTCTAAGTGAATCACGGCTATATCGTAAGGAGTAGTATATGTTTGGAGCTTGTATAATTCATGAGGGATAAGTTTGGATGGTTGTATCACCTCTCTAGTTGCCTCTAGATGTACTTCCAGGTCTTCCAGTGGCAGTGAGGTTCTGAAAAATGTATATGCTAGTAGTATAAACGGATGGGCTCCAAGATTCTGACCGAATTTCGAATATTCAAGGTTTGTTTTTCGGCTTCAAAGAAAAAATGGTCCGCCATCGGCCGCCTTTGACGAACTTGATGACCTGGATTTCCTTGCAAGATGAGTTCTTACAATAAGGACTATAGAAACAGAGCTTTTTCCTTACTAGGAAACCGAACCACTTTTTTGCTCTGTATTGTTCTTTGTTTTTACTGACTAATGATACTATTCTTTCAAAGCTGTGAGCGTTTTTGATTTTTTCTGTCTTCATGCTATGAAACCTTATCAACAGAAATAAGCATATTTTGTTCTCCGCTGCTGAAGACCTTTATTTTTGAGTTGTGGATTATCGAAGAGATGCTGAAGAGGGCGACAACATGATACATGACATATGCTGGCAAACTCAATTGTATTTTGAGCGTGTTTTTTGACACGTTTGCCGCTTGTCTATACTATTAAACGTTTGTACAAGCAATTTTTGAAAAGCCTTACCTCGCTTGACGTCGGGTTTGTTCAAAGTTCGAGTATTTTATAAAAGTTCATTCAGAACACGATATCAAAATATTTGGAAAACGCATTTTTGCAGGCAACTCAAGTTAACTTCCTGGTTACAGTTGAATAACCAGAAAGTAAACCAACTAACTAACAAAATTTCTTTGTAGCTACTCTATATTATGCCAAAGAATCAAACATAAAATCTTTATAGTTGTACATCTAACTTAAAGAGTAACGTCACTTTTACCCCCTATTTTAATCCCTAAGTTTTATCCTCATAATGAAAGGTAGCCTAAATCCATCTCAAAGATCTAATCTATTCTGGATTAAGATATCTTACATCTGAGCTACCGCAGGGGTCTGTTATAGGGCCTTTGCTCTTCACCATTGTACAGATCAGACATAATTAATGTAGCTAAAAACTGTTATGTATTAAGCTTTTAATCCCTAAAATTTTAAATATTCATTATCTCTAATTAATAATGATTGAAGGGCAATTTCAAATTATGCGAAGAACGATATATAATTTGCTAAATACTAATATGCACATTTTTACTGAATAACCTAAATTATGATTTAGTGACTGTGTACATACAAATCTCGAATTTATTTTTGATAAACTATGATTCCGTGAGCATGTCAGTCAAATCTCTAGGAACAGTTGTGTATCATTACGACTTATATAAGCAAAAAAGCTTAGTTACATCCAGAATTCTATATTGTATTACCCTTTATTCTCTATGTTTATATCAAATCACTGCAAAACGACTGCAGAAAACCAAAATAATTGTGGCCTTCTGATGTATAATTTAAAAAAATATGACCATACATACAAGGAGCATTGTTAGTATGGGCTGGTTAAACGTCGTTGGGCTTTTTCAATATCATGTACCACTCTTGTACATTCAATTGAAAATAATAGAAAGCCATTTTTATTTGAAAAACGATGGCGTAATTGAGTAAAGCCATAAAAGATGAAATTGTTGTTCGGCAGTGATAAAAATTGAAAACTGCTGTTGCCACAATGGGTTCGTCCAGTTTTTGTATATTTCGTTGAATTTTTGGGGGGCATTATTTTCTAGAATAACAAGAATACAAACCTAGAATCATACAGACAGTGTCCAGCAGTTAAAACGGTTCGTTGTGTTATCAAAGTGCCGCCGCAATTGAATGTTCTTCCTTGAAAAAGTTTCACCTGGAACCACAAAACAAGCACATAACATACAGTAGCCGCCATCTTTCGATTGGTAGCGAAAAAAAAACATGGCGTCAAGTAGGCCGACTGTGCACTTCCCCCTCAGCGCCTTCAGTTAGTTCATAAGGGATTAGGTTCGGCACAAGGTATCCCATGTGACGAGAATTTATAAAAAATAAACGGACAAAGTCTGTCGCGATTACGAATTTCTCCTCTGCCCCACCGACAGCACCGACCATTTGGCAACGTTGCTATGACTAACCTCTCCAGTTGTCAGCCACTCACGACCGTAACGCTCGTATTTCCGGAGACGCGTGTGTTGAAAATAGTTTACTGCCATTGTGATGTCTAAGGACAGATGAACGAGAAAGTATTTTATATCTGAGATTAACTAAAGCCAATTTTTCCTGCCCTGACTTCGCCGCACGGGACCATATTTGTAAAAATGTCATCATAATATAAGAAGCGCTTCCGAATTTAAACGTGGCTAAATATCTGGAATAGAAGGTACATCCAAAAAAAACAAAAAACTTCCTTTAAACGTAGGCCCTAAAATGGGTGTTTGTGTAAATGGGTAAAGCCTCCTCACGTAGATTGTTCCACAATTTTGATACTCTAGGGACAAAGGGTCATTTCTGGATGTACAATCATGGCGATGACATGTCCGGAAAATGCTTGAGTGGCGGGATAATCTTAAATACAATATCATTTTGCCTCTAAAAACAGTACTTTATACCCACTGCCTCCCTGGCCCCGTATATACTCTACCGACCCGCTGCGACTTCTTTGAGTGGGAAGGTACAATTTACGAATTGAAAAATTTGACTGATGAGACTTCGACGCTTAGCTGATACTTTTAGGAACGAATAGTTTTCATACTGTACCATGTATGGATAGTTCTTAACATCCACTTCTTCACCATTTATTATCCGAGCTTCTGCAGACTTTTTCAAATCCTTGCATTCCGCCTACAAAAAATGATATGAATCTGATGAAATACCAATATATTGCAAGCATCTATCAATTGAAAATCATAAAAATACCGCAATAATATATACAAGATGACTCTTTGGTGGGGTATCAAGAAGGAAAAAAATATCTCAAACATCTGTTTGGAAGATTATAAGCAACTGTAGTACACTCTTTACTTGAGAGATATATGTTTACTCTCTTTAGGGTGATTCATAGCTACTTATGTGTTCAGACAAATCTGCATCTTTTGAAAGCGGTCAGCATTATACTTTTTTGGGTAAAAGGCATTTTTTAAAGAAGAAGCCTTATATAATAATAATAATAATAATAATAATAATAATAATAATAATAATAACAATAATATTGATTACCCTCATTAAACAGTATATACAAAGTTTACAAACAAAAAAAAAGCTTTAAGAGATTAAAGAGCTACATCAGCTTGCTCCTTGAAGCAGCAGCTGCTAAAAGCAAAAAAAAAATTAAATAACTCTATAATAACACAAATGGCTATTAAGACATTGTTAATTAATAATGTTTTAATATTAAGGTATATAGCGAAGTATAGTAAGTAGAGAAATCGAAATTTAGAGTGAGAAGAGAAAGCGAGGGGAAAGAGAAGAAGACAAAAGGGGGAGTAGGAGATGGGTTTTCTACGATATCTGAGACAGTAAATTACTTTTAAGGTTCCTCTTAAATGTATCTACCGAGAGAGAAAAATCTTTCATTTTTATTTTATTTACCAAACAGGCAATTTGATATGAGAATGATTTCTTAAACGATTCTTTATAGTGTGATGGTATTGTAATCAAATTCAATCTTCTAATTTTTAGATTATGTACATCAGTCCGGTAACTAATTTTTTAGTGAAGATAAGGGAGGTTTTTATATTTCATAATCTTGTAAAAAAGTAGAGTGCAAGGTACGCCTCTGAGCCATATTCAACCATCCCAGTTCAGGTAGTTTGTGGGATACTCATTGTCTACCCCTTATGCCAAATATCAGTGTCATACAATAATTCTGAGCTTTTTGAACCCGTTTTAGTCCCATACTATCAAGGAATGAGCCATATACCATATCAGCAAAGTTGAAGTGGTACAACATTAAAGCTTCGCAGAGCGTGGCTTTAGCATTTTGTGATAGGGAATGTCTACGGGGGTAACATTGAATATGCTTTTCTTAGGCACAGAGTAACGCGGTCTCTAAATTTAAGTTTAGAGTCAACCACTAAGCCCAAATCCTCCACGGAATCCCTTAATGATGTTATATTGTGCCCTAGTTTGAGCTTAATATTATTTTATAATACGTTTCTGTAGGAATAACTACAAAACAATATAGCCGTCGATTTACTAGGGTTTATCTTTAACAAGTGATCTTCAGAGGTTTTGAGAAGGCTATTCAAGTCGGTATTCAGTCGGTTTGTTATAAGTTCTGACAGATCAGGTTTGAAAGAGGCATACATTTGAGGGTCGTCAACATTTGGGGCAAATCAAAGGTGCGTCCCATTTTCAAGAAGGGTGATAGACTACAGGTTGAAAATTATAGGCCGATAACCCAGGTATGTATCTTTTCCAAGGCCTTAGAAACTTTGCTTCATAATTTCCTATACCACAATACACATTCCCAAATAAGTACTTCTCAGCATGGCTTTATGAAGGGTCGATCAACCATAACTAACCTAGCCTGTTTTACCTAGTCAGTCTCCTCTGCATTATATGCTAATAGCCAGGTGGATGTAATTTATACAGATTTTAGTAAAGCATTTGACAAACTTGATCACAGCATTCTGTTAACGAAGCTGAGCTATTTTGGATTCTCCCCCAAGCTGTTATCCTTTCTTAAGTCATATCTATCAGGAAGAAAGCAATATGTTGAATATGAGGGTGTCAAATCCATTGAATTCTTCCCAACCTCAGGGGTACCTCAAGGCTCCTGCTTAGGTCCTTTGCTTTTCATACTGTTCATAAACGATATTGTTAGCGACATCGACATCAGCCACTTAATATATGCTGATGATCTGAAAATTTTTTCCAAAGTCGACTGCAGCACTGACTGTGCTCACTTACAAAAAGACCTAGCCAAAATAGTTAAATGGTGTGCTGTAAATCGACTTCCAATTAACTACAGTAAATGTAGTGTTATGTCTTACCCCAGAAAGCTAGATATTATTGCATTTGACTACAGAATTGGCAATCATTCTCTGCTGAGAGTACAAGAATGCAAGGACCTGGGTGTGATTTTTGACATGTCACTTAGCTTCAATCCTCATATTGAGTATCTTATTAATGCTGTCAACAGATTATTAGGATTTGTAATACGTAACTCAAAGGAATTAAGTAACAAAGATGCCATGATCATGCTTTATAATTCATTCATACTGTCTAAGTTAGAATATGGACGGCTGATATGGAATCCATGCTATGTTACAACTTGTGGCTCTCTGGAGAAGATTTAGCGGAAATTTCTAAAATTTCTTTCATTCAAAATTGACGATAGGTACCCACCCATTGGGGTCCCACAGGAAGACCTGTTACGTACGCACAAGTTTATCAGTCTTGATAACAGAAGAAAGATTCACTCGCTAATATTCCTGCATAAAGTAGTGCATAGCAGTTATGATTGTCCATCAGTTCTAGCACAGATTAAATTGAATGCTCCAAAATTTGTTACTCGCAATACACTCACTTTTTACCTACCTACCCCACGAACTAACTTACTGTTGCACACACATTTGTACTCGATGGGTTCATGTTATAATAGTCTACAGAGTACATTTGATTTGTTCAACACAAGTATTTCGAATATTAAGAGAGTTTGCAGTGAAATGATTTAGTTTTTAGTTTTCGTTGTATTTTTATATGTTTTTTTTACTATTTCTATTGTTGTTTTGCCACCAGTAATTGGTTAACACTGTTGGTGGTGGATTTCAATAAATAAATAAATAAAAATAAATAAATAAAGATGATATTGATAATAGTTTAGCGACATCAAGAAAATAAAAGTATATATGCTGTACAATAATGGACCCAAAACACTGCCGTGGGGCACCCCTGATAGCGACTGGATTGGTCTTGCTTGTCTGAGAAAACAGTCAACGATTTTAAATTTTGCGTCTCATCTATGCGTGGTGGTACAAATGCAAATGAATGGATCTTTTGAATCCATTTACATTATTAGGAAAATGTTCATATACTTTAGGTGCTCCCCCCCTCCCCTGCTCAACAGCCCGAAAAACATAAATGGGATTCTTCTTTAACTTACGTAGAGCATATTAATTTATTACTATACCCCTACATCATTGATTACAAAAAATTCTTACCACTAAAACGGCTCCAAGAATGAGGAAAGTACTTAGAATATACATGTTTGCTCAAACTGATGACACCTACAGATATCTAATGCTTCTTTCCGTTCAAATGAACATATTTATAGCCCGATATTTTTATTGTTAACCACAAAAAGTCTCGTGCCCAACGAAAAAGGTTTAAAAAATCATATAAACCTTATCACATTTTCGTGACAAGGACATTTGAAAGTATTAACATTGTTTTATATCAATATATCCGTAACGATTTTGATATTCAATGTTTATAGTCTGCCCATGAATCTTGTGGTGGTGGTTGATACATTGATATTCACCACTTTAATTAGAACGATAACTTTCACGCAACGAATTTTATGATCCAGATGACTGAAAATGCAATAAGGTTTGGCTTTTTGTCGAGCATGTTTACGTTAGTTAAAACATATTTCTGGAAACGCTAATAAGCATCTAGACCAAACGTTCAGGGTAGTCCCCAGGTTCAAAAATTATGAAAACCTATTTTTAATCTGTGCAACTATTCTTTGTCAGGTTTTCGGTGTTTTAGACCACTGCGCGGGGTACAATTTCGCATGCTCCTATTGGCCAGCAAGCCATAAATGCCTAGGCAGGCCGCGACAAGCCATTAAATGCGAAGAACAGGTATCGTATGTTTTGATGCGGAGTAAATGATAGACTGCGATGCAAAGTTGTGATTATAATGTTTGAAGCTGTTCCAGTATACAAAAAACCCTGTTGTGCTGAAAACTGTATAAATGTCATTGAAGTTGTATCGCCAGCTTTTCGGTATTTTAGACCACCATGCGGCATACACATACCCATACTCCAGCAGGCCAAAAATGCCTGGGCAGGTATCGACTAGCGAAAAGAAGTGACGCGGAGTAAATGAGACTATTGTGCATATTTTGTTATCGCAACTGTGGGATTACAATTTTTGAAGCAACAAGCATGCTGGCTGGATTGGTGTGCAGAAACAGAATAAATATATGACATCTTTTCTACTGCAGCAGAGAGAGGTAGTTCCAAGTTCTAATTGCTCTGGGCGTCCCTTATATTCGGCAACTTCTAAGGTATCTTCCCTGAGGACACCCACCTAAGAAAACAATTGCTATCTGCCATGTAACCGATACCACTCTAGGCGACTGCACAAAGCATCCGCTACGAGACATATTTCCTTTTCCTGGGAATTCATCTGGAAAGGAACTCACTTACAGATAATTTGTGTCCAATGTTGCAAGAAAGAGGTCTCCTTCGGGCTACGAAGTGGTCGAAGCACAAATAAAGGTACGATACAATTGTAAGATGATACCTGCAATTTAGTTCTCTTTGTGTGTACGAGCTCTCTCTCTCCGGTATCTAGATCTCGATCAACAATTGAAATCGTAAATACAATTGTCAGTCGGTAACAGTAATTTTTGTATGGTACAGATCTGTATTTAGGAATTTACAATTCATGATGAACTGATCCACTATAACTAGATATTCATATACGTATGTATATATTTTTATGATGCCCCAACAGCTACAAATCTAAAGCTCGATATTCCATTCACTTTAACCGGGTTTTCTGGAGGTTGATTTTTTCTTATCAAGAACAAAAAATTAGAACAAAAAGCTGATGTTCGATAAAACAGGATGAAAATGGGCAATGACGTGGGGCTCTCCAAATATCTTGATATACAGACTTTCACAAAAGTTTGGATCGCATCAAATATCTGACGAACGACTTATCTATTTTTTAAAAAAACTGACAGGTTTAGGTTCAGAACCACAGCGGATCCGTTGATGACACGATGTTGCCAAGTCTACAGCTTTTCAGAAACTGTTAGCAACTTTATATCAAACATACTTTGACGTAGACGTAGTTTTCGAAATGATAACCTGGCGTGGAAAATAATTTCCTGTCATCTCGGACATTGAAAGATCCATTAAGATTTGTTAATGGACATAAGCATAATATGATTTATTCAACTAAAACCAAGATGATAGAGATTCTAGTATTGATTAAAATAGTGTATTTGATTTATTCAGTAGTAAGAGATCTAGGTGTGTTGTTTGATGTAAAATTAGAATTTACAGGTCATATTGGTACAGTAGTATTAACCGCTATAAAAAGCCTCAGTTTTTTTTTAAGAAACTGTTAATCACTTGGTAATGAAACGGCACTGGCACTTTATACTGGACCTTGCTGCGTTCTAAGCTGGAATATGCATCTAGTGTATGGCATCCATATCACCAAATCTATACTAATGGAATTGAAAATGTACAGAGGAGAATTCTTAAATACTTGACTTTTAAATCAGATCGTGTTTATCCCAATCGTGGTACTCCCCAATCAGCGATGTTGCTCAGATTTGAAATGCATCCTCTTGAGCAGAGAAGAGTTTGTAATGGTTTAAAATTCCTTTACAAACTCGTACACAGTGATGTTGATTCTTCAGCTTTATTAGCTAAAATTGATTTTCATGTCCGTCCCGCATTTCTCGAAGATCTCTCGCTTTTTACTTAAAAACACCAAATTCTAATGCTATGATTAAGTCACCCGTGTACTTTATGTGCTCCAGCTTTAACACCATAGCTGATAATAGTGACATTCATCATGATAAAGTCAAAGATATATTAGCTGTATTCAGCGACTACTATTATTCATTTTATAGCATTTAAGACATGTAGGTGAGTAGGTGTAGTTATTTCATTTTTTTTCAGAAACTTGGCGAGCTATGATTGTAGTTAAAAATACTGTAACGTCAAATTGTATTCAATTATATTGTCCTTTAAATGGATGTATGTGTTGGGCAATAAACATATTATTATATTCCAAGGAAACAAGAAAAAAATTAAAAACAAAGCAATTTATGAAACCTAGTTGTTAATTTAAACTTCAAGATAAAAATCAAATTAAATGTTTAAATTGCCGTCCATATATTTGTTCGCAATAAGGTACATATTACGGAAATGTGTTTAGAACATTTTGAAGACAACCGCTTTCCTGCAAAGAATACATTTTATTGTAAATATGTAAATACTAATGTTTGACCGCGAATGTTTCGAAAGGTTTACGTTAAGGTGTGTAACAGAAAGTATTCAGAATTTCTCACGGAATACAAATGTTGAATAAAATATATAGCAGGCTATTTCTCAGTAAATTTCTAAATTCATGTCCCGAGTCATTGATGCTAAGTTGCAAGGATTTATCGTCAATTTAATATTTTTATTATATCAATAAGTATCAACACTAATATTTTAAAAGAAAAAATTTAGGTGATATACTGACACAAAGAAATACGATTAGTTTATTAGTCTAAAAGTCATTCCCTCATCTCCTCCCTGGACCTGAAATTAATAATAAAAAATATATACAATTAAATCTGTTCATCTTCTTACAAATTGAACAATACTAAAATATTTGATATGGATATGTATAGTCAAGCTTTCATTGCTAAAAAATAAATATGCATATAAAAAAAATTATTTAAACTATGTTCCTGGAAAAAAGTATTGGATTTTAATAATTAGAACAGTACATTTCTCTGTGTCATTACCTCACCGTTTATATTAGAAAGTAAGTCATTATACTGTTCGAATGTTTTAATGATTTTTTTCTTGTTTTGAGGAGTAAAATGCATTCACAAAATACTAAATCAATTTGAGGTGTTGTACTGTTGGTTACGGTGTCGTTTATGCAAATCCGTCACTCCCTCACGGTCGTTCCCTCACTAGATTAGAAAGTGGGTCAATGATAATTATATGAGGGAATGATTTTTGCATATGTAAAATTGTGGTTTGGGTGTTATTGTTTAACTCCAGGTTGTATAGCATGTATTTTCAGTTGTAACAGATATCCGTATATCAAGAATGGGGAAAATGAAGAAGTTAAGTGAAGAAGAAAATAAATTAAAAAAGAAGGATTACGACAGAAAGAGGCGAGAATAAATGAAAACTAATGCTTACCCTTTAGAAGATTTGCGTAAAAAAGAAAGATTAAAGTATTTAAAGAAGAAGTCAAGTTAAGTCAATAAGTTCTATGAGTGCAAGAGAAACTAGCCAAAAACGAAAACAATGGAAACAGAATAGTAAAGTTTATAGGGAAAATCGAGTTACATTACAAACAAATTTACAGAGAACAGTTGAAGAAACACCCCCACCACGTCTTGTACCATCACAGCACAGAGCAGAGAATTTGTCTGCTTTCGATAGACGTAGAATGCGCAAGCGGCGAACTATTCTGTACGCGAAGATTAAAAGTTTGGAAAAGAAAGTGAGAAACGCAGTCAAGCTTAGCGAAAAATATAAGAAGAGTTGTATGAGATTGAAAACTAAAAATACTGACCCAAACCCTCCAGCAACTAAAGTGTCTTCGCTTTTAAATAATACACAAGTTCCTGACGTTAAAAGAAAAAGACTCATTTTCGGACTTCAAGAGTATCTATGAAGATCTTGGAAGTAAGGATGGAGAAAAGAAAATATTACAAAATCTTGAAGTTGCAATTAGTACAAAAAATTCAAATTGCTATATAGGTGGAAACATTTTTCAAAAATACGTACAAAAAGAACTGTACTCTTAAAGTTAGCTCCAAAATGCTGAAAACTAAAGGTGATGTTGTTCATTTCTTAGAGAAGGATGAAAATAGAAGGACTATCTAAGCTCTGTAAAGTATAAAAAAATCTCAAAACATCTGCTAAAAAATTAATTTATGTATTCTTATTGAAATTCAGCATCCAATTGTTGTAAAAATCGTTCCCCCATCCTATCAGTCATTCCCTCATTTCATAGTTTTTTAAAAGTCATTTTTCTACATGTTATATACAAAAATATGGAGGAACTTCAATTACAATGAACCTCACTAAAGTAAGACTTTATATTTCTGCAAAAAAAAGATATATCTTCATTAATTTTTTTTAAGAAATGCAAAATGAAATTTCTAAAGCAAATATTGCAATCAGTTTCTGAAAAACTGTAGATTTGGCAACATCGCGGATATCATCGGCGCATCCTCCTACGAATTTTTAAAAAAAATAGATGAGTCATCCTTCAGATATTCGATGCGTTCCAAACTTTTGTTACAGTCTGTATGTATTCCAAAACACCTTGTCGCTAAAGCGGTTATAGCCAAACTATGTCAGAAGCTCCCTATTGATCTGCTGTATACAACTACAACCTTGGTGTAGACCTATTGTTTATATA